CACCGTGACGTGTGAAATAAGTAAACATTAACCGAGATAAAATAAAATACAAAACCCTTAAACATATTTGATTTCAGTGATTTGCCAAGGCAACATTTTTAATTTTCATTTAATTTAAGTGCCAAACTAATTTAAGGACCGATTTAGTTTGAACTAAAACTAAATAAATGTAAAAAATTAATAAATATTATATAGACATATTTAAAAAAAAAATTATAATAAGCATAAAATAACGTAAATGCATAAAATAGCAGACTAAATAAACTGAAACTAGTATAAGAAAATACTGTATAGACAAATTGCATTAAACAACTAAAACTAAAGAAAATTTAAATAATAAAATAAAAAAATACTGTGTAGACAAATCACAAAAAATAACTTAAAAAAAAATACTTTATAAAACAACACAACAAAATTACTAAAACTTAAATAAATAAAAATTTAAACAGAAAAATATAAAAATAAAATCTAATTTAAAATATAAAGAAAAAATAACATGGATCTTTAGGGCAGATGGCATCAGTTATTTTAGTATCATTGATAAACTATTATAGTTTTTATTAAGATTTTTATTTATGCATTTTCTGTTTTCATTTTAATTTTAGCTAAAGTTTTTTTTATTCTTTTTTTATTATTAAGTTAATTTAGTTTTCAAGTTGGGGTTAGGGTTAGAGGAAACTAATTGAAATATATATAATTTATTTCGGTTAACGTTTATTTTATTTCAACTAAAGAAAATGTTTTTAATGAATTGAAATTAATGTAGGTTTAGATTTAGTTTTAGTTAACTATAATAACACTGATATACACTTGCAAAAAATCTTTTGGAGATGATAAAAATAAAATTTCATCTAATGATTACAGTCCTTAATTGTCTGCTAAATTATTATCATTTTTCTTCTGTTCTTTGATTTTCATACCATCATATTTTAATATCTAAAGTCTCAAATACAGGCACAACACTATTAGCAGTGCCAAAAAGCAAGGTGAGACAATCTGAAACCACAGAAATCTGAATAACCATAAAGTTCTGCGGCGTAAACATTTAATCGTCTGACGTGTCTGAAGCTCAGCGATTCTGGAGTTTGCGGCTCTGAGCACAGGAGTGTTTTCATGCTGTAGTCTGGAGTGAGGATGAGTCAGGCCTTTGTCTGCGTTCACTGAGGGCCGTGGGGGGAAGGGAAACACACATAAAGCAGGACCGACCCCGACGGGGCCCCAGGCCATCAGTGCAGGATTACACATGCTAATGGACCCCTACACACACACACACACAGACACACACACACACACACACACTCACACACACACACTCTCTCACACACACACACACACAAGAAGCTCTGAAGCCACACTTAATGCCTGAATGTCGTTCGTTATATGAAATAGAAGGGAAGAGAAAGATGCACAAGCACACTTTACAATCAGATCTTTTGACCAAAAGAAGTTCAATCTGTTTGAAAGGCTAAAACAGTAGATGTAGCGTTAAACATGAAGAGAATTGTGTGGTTATTCACACATTTGTGGTATAAAATAAATTTGAAAAATAAAAATAGTAATAATTTAGCAGACTAAGATTAAATTATTAAATGCATTTGTAACAAATCCCATACAGACACACAAAAAAATGTTTTAGAGATGATAAAAGGACATTTAAAATCTTATCCTAAGTGTCTGCTACATTATTATTGCTTCATATTTCATATTATTTTAGATTTCATATTGTTTTCACACTGTCATATTTTATTATTTTATTAGGTGCAACGATATTAGCAATGCCAAAATAGTAGCATTGACATGAAAAATAAACATAATGATAATATAGCAGACAAAGTTTAAATATTAAATGCATTAAAAACATATTAATATAGTAGCGTCTATGTTGTATGTTAAAATAAAGCATGCTCATATAATTTATTTGAAATTATATTTATTGTGGAATTTCTGGAATTGCAGAAATGATTGTTTTCAAACAGGTTTCCTGAATGCTCTTCCTGCCTGTCGTAGGCCAATCAAACAGATATTGGTTTAGACCAATACAAACTGGGCAAGTTTGTATTTGTAATTAATAATTGTGCAAAGGTCAGAGTTCAGATATATTTTGTGTTTTTCTTTTTCTGTTTGGCGGCGGTAGTCGTAGCGTAGAGGATTCCTCACAGGGGTGTGTGAGTGTGTGTGTGTGTGTGTGTGTGTGAGAGTGTGTGAG